GGAGGCAATGGCTTTAACTCCAAAGTGGGAGGCTCCTCGATTGAGGTCTTTGTTGGAGGAGTCTTCCAGTTTTCATAAGTGTACGACCACATTCCATGCAATGCATTCATACATTTCACATAGCCTTTTTTTCTCCTCATATTCATCAAGGTTGAGCAAATCGGCTTCTTAAGTATCCTTAATATTCCTTGTGGCACCAGCATCATCAACAATTACATCGGTCACCAAGTCCATGAACAAACAAAACTCATTGCTATTCTGTTCAAAATATTGGGAATTGGGCAACCAAGACCCACATACATGAGGTTAAAAATGGTGGATCATACAATGAAGAGACCTTTGGGTATTATTGATGTTGTGTTGGTTCGTGTTGACAAGTTCATCCTCCCGGCGGACTTTGTGATTCTTGATTGTGAAGTGGACTATGAGGTGCCTATTATCTTAGGTAGACCTTTCCTTGATATGGGGAAGGCTCTTGTTGATGTGGAAGCTTGTGAGCTCACCATCTGGGTAGGTGATGAAAAGGTGGTCTTCCATGTGTGCAAATCTATGAGACAACCGAATAGGGCATAAAGCTGATACTTGCCCCAAGATCACATAAAGCTTTAACAAAGCTGGCACTTCCAATTGTACATGCGATTGTGAAAGCGCTTGTATCTTCCAATTTAGGAGCCATTGAGTGCATAATTGCATTCATTTGATGTGTCATCCTTATAGTCTCACAATTTATCGACCTCTTCTTTGTCACCAAGTCCTTCATGAACTTTGCATATCCCGGCATTTGTTCCAAGGCCTCAACCAATGGCACGTTAATAGACAAACTCTTCATCATGTCAATGAACGTTTTGAATTGGTTCTCGCCATTTTACTTGTCAAGCCTTTGAAGATATGGAGGAGGAGGCCTAGGCATTGGTGCCTTAGCCTTTGGTACTACTGGTTCCGGTATGCCAACTATGTGCTCCCTAGACGGGTTCACTTCTTCTTGAGTCTCCTCCATATTGTCTTCAATATCAATTTTCACCTCATCGTTTGCTTGCACTTCATTTCTTGGCATCTCATCTTCTTGTACCAATTGTTCATCATCCACAATATTTTTTTGGCTTGAGGTGGTTGCATCCTTGCCCTTTTCACTCCTTGTAGTAATGGCCATGGCTTGTCCCGTGTTGCTCCCACCCTTCGAGTTGACCACCATATCACTTGGTAGTGTCCCCTTAAGATGAGTGTTCAAAGCTTGCGAGATTTGTCCCAATTGAACTTCCAAATTGTGAATTGAAGTGTTGTGAGAGGCTAGTTGAGCATTAGAGTCGGCATTCTTCTCCATCATTTGTTTAACCATGTTCTCAATTCGATCCATCTCATTGTTGGAAGAGCTCGGACCTTGAGAAATATAAGGAGGCAGGTTGCTCGGTTATTGAAATATCAGGGTCTTTGAAAACCTGACCCCCGGTTATTATTGTTGTTCCACCCTCCTTGGTTGTTACCTCCCCAATAGCCATGATAATTGCCACTATAATTGCCTTGGTTATTTTTACCATTCCAATTTCCTTGATTGCTTTGATTATTCCAATTCCCTTGGTTGTTTTGATTGTTCCAGCTACCTTAATTGCTTGAATTCCAATTTTCTTAATTTCCTTGTGGTCGCCATTGTTGTTGATTTGGTCCTTGATTGTTGTTTCTTTGCCCTTTGAAGTTTTTCACATATTGTACTTCCTCCTCTTGTTCACTGTATTATCCATCTTGATCGAATACACTATCATCTTGCACATAATTTTCAACCTGGTTTTTCACTTGAGGACCCTTTTGCCTTCTCTTGTTTACCATCATACTAACTCCCTCCATGGAATTTACTTTCTTGGGACCTTGCAATTGTTGAAGTTGAGCTTTGGCTAGTTGATTCATTGTGGTGGTCAACTCGGTAATTGCCTCCCCATAATCATGTAATTCTTTATGCAAGTGAATCATATTTGGATCGCCTTGAGGAATGTTTGCTCTACTTTGCCATGTCAATGAAGTATCTGCCATTTCGTCAAGAATCTCACAAGTTTCCGCATATGGTGTTATCATGAAATTTTCACTAGCAAGTTGGTTGACTACGCATTGATTGGTAGTATTTACACCCCATATAAAGTTTGTTGAATTATAGCCCTCGTCATGTCATTGTTCGGGCACTCTTTTCCCTATAGTATGATACCTCTCCCATATCTCATGCAAAGGATCATTGGGTTCTTGTTTGAAAGCTAGAATCTCATCCCTAAGCATTGTCATATGCCCAAGAGAAAAGAACTTAGAAATACATTTCTCAGCCAATTGATCCCATGTATGGATAGAATGATTTGAAAACCTCTCCAACCAATCCAAAGCCTTCCGCCATAGAAAGAAAGGGAATAGCCTCAATCTTAAAGCATCCTCGGAGACGTTTATCTGCTTACTCTCCCAGCAAGTGTCAACAAACCCTTTCAAGTGCTTGTATGCATTTTGATTCAGATCCCCGGTGAAGAATCCCCGTTGTTCCAACAACGTAAGCATAACATTTGTGATTTGAAAATCTTCCACCCTGATGAGGGGCCGGACTATGGCACATGTGTATCCTTCATTCGGCAACACACGGTGTGCCTCTCTTTGAGGAGGTAGGTGTGGAAAGGGAACGTTGTCTTGAGGCAGCCGGCCTCGTCTCTTTGCTTGAGGTCCAAGAGGAACCTCATCAACTTAGTCATCATCCTTGTCATTCCCCAATGGCACATTTCCAAGAGGATCATTGTTGCTGAGATCCATTGTATCACCTATAATTATTTCAAAAAAAAGGTTAGTAACCCGAAAGGAAAGGAAGACAAATCACACACAAAACCAAATATATAGCTTGTTTTTTAGCTCCCGGCAACCGCGCCAAAAATTAGTGTTGCCCAAGTTCACATCTCCAATTGGGGTTGTGAATCGGTCGATGCAATTATAATTACCGAACTAGGAGTCGGGATCGATTCCTTAGGGAGCATAGATGGGATTAGGTATATACTCGGACTAAGTGTATAATATGTCCAAAATGCACTTTCACATACTTTGTTGTTTTTGTTTACTTCTAAATTAAGTTATTGTTTGCAAATATAAAACTAGAGAATAATATTTTTTGTGTTGTTTTTCAAGTTGTAAAAGATCTAGGGCTGTGACTTCCACCTAGGTGGTTACCTAACGGGTTGTGGGCTTTAGAACGAGTTTTGTTGGTCGGGGAGTAATATAGCAATCAACACACAATTACCCACTCAATATCTCTCAATAATAGAGTGATTTTGCCTAATTTGTCTTCTCAAGCCCAAATGGGTAATTCACAAAATAGTTGATAGAGCTTAAGTCAGGTTTTACTATCTCTAGATTCAACCCTTTAATTGGGACTATCAATTTCTTGAGTTCACCCCCAATTTCTTGTTAGCTAAGTTTTCCTAGACTCAATCTCTCTTTCTCAAGTAGAGACTAAGTCAATTAGGCATAAAGCAATGTTTGCAACCATTAATTCTTAAATTAAAGCAGAACTAGGCTATATCACACACCCAACCATAAACAAGCCCTAAATCAAACATCCATTAGGTACCCACACTAGGGTTGGGTCACAACCCTAGCTAGAAATTTAACTACTCATAGATGAGAAGAAATTAAAGAGGAAATGATAATTAAACTCATGTTGCAAAATTAAAAGACAAAAATATAATGTTTAATCTCTAAAGTAAGCTAAAGTTACTATAACTCATAAAGAAAAACGGCTCTCTACTTTCTGAAGTTCAAACTTAACCTATTTTGACAAAAAAGTCTATTTATACATAGCTGAAAATTTCGGATAAAATTGCCCTTTCGGAGGTTCTGCGGCCGCACAATTCTGTACGCAGTCTGCACTTTGAAGCTGAGCTTGACATGAGGGAATTCTGCGGCCGCACAATTCTGAATTGCGGCCGCACTTCTTCAGGTTCTGTGGACCACACATTTCTGAGTGTGGCCGCACTCTGGACTTCTGCGTCCACACAATAATAGTGTGTTTCGCACTTCTCGATGGACTTCAAGTTAGACTCTCTGATTTTCCTCTTCTGCGGCCGCACAATTATTGTGCAGTCCGCACATTGCAAAGCAACACTATCAAAATTCCTTCACATTCTGTGGCCGCAGACAGAATTCTACGGTCCGCACTTTGACATTTTTTGCTTGGTTTTAGTCCTTATCAAAAAATACTCCTTCTTGAATTAAATTTCATCACGTTGGCTCATTTTCCAAAACTCCTGCAAGAAAGCACATTTTATCAGTTTTCGAAAATACCTTTAAGCATTTTTTATCTAAAACGAAAGTAAAAGGGTGCAAATAAGTAGTCAAAATTCATACTTATCAAGTCACCTGCAGGCTGGTCCCACCATCTTCAAGGCCATGTGCATTCTGAATAGCTGATCGGGTGCCCCTTTGAACGTTGCTTTCGAGATCGATGGCGAAACTTCCATTGATGGCTATATGTGAACTGACGTCGATCGGATCTACAGCCAGAATTTCATTGAGGCCAGCAGGGGGTACAACATTTCCTGGTGCAATGTTCTCATTTTAGCCATAGTGGCTGAGATCATTGTCAATGTGTTGAGGTGCTGAATGAGATTTTGATATGTTTAAGCCTGTAAACAAAGATACTTCAAAGAACAATTGTGAAATAGTGTGTGTTACGAAAATTTGTACCAGGCAATCATTATTATCCTTAGCCCCACATTAGGCGCCAAACTGTTTACCCTAAAAACGGATAACAATTGAATTTATACTGTGGTTTTAAGGACACGTGATTTTACTTGGCACAAAATGAGAAAAATGCAATATTGTTGTTGAAATTAACTGCAAATAGAGATAAAGCAAACCAAAAGAGATGTATAGCTTTGATCCTCGAGCTAGTTCGCTTTCGAATCAAACAAGTATTTTACTGGAAAGTATGAACAAAGCAGCAGAGTATTGAGAGCTTAAGAAGAAGATAGTATATTGCTTTATGTAACGTGAATATCATGATCTTTACAAATTATCAGACTCCTTTATATAGTAGGTGAATCTTACCCTTAATACAATCCTAAATATGGTAAGAAATATCTTATTAGCTTATTAATCGGCCTCTTCTTGATCCGTGCCGAGATTTCCGCTGTGATCCTCGCCCGATCGCAGATATCTTGGCTTTTCGTTATTTGGCTCGGCAGGCTTCCCTCAATCTTGCTCGATCTCTATCCCACTCGGTCTCGATCTTGGCTGGTCTCGATCTCGATCGGTCCCTGAGTCACGAGCTTGGCCATCTAACTTCGTGTCTTGGTCCGGTATGACATAGGCTCCGGCCTCGATTAATCATAAAAAGGGGCAAGCCCGATTATGACCGTATACACCTATAATAATTAAAATGATCAAGTTTTACGTTTTTCTATTTTATTTTATTTTTTTAAAACATTGTATGTCACTTTATTAAATGTCTCCAAAAAATATTTTTCGGCTAAGAGTATATTTAGTGTGATGAGATAGCATTAGTAATTAAAGTGACTTTTATGTTACAAAATAAATAATATTTTTGTTTAACAATTTTCTATAACTGAATAACCATATACATAAGCAATTAGCTACTGATGGGGTTCGAAATAATGATGGAGTACTAAATGAGGAAATTACCAAAGATTGCTTTCCAACTCCATTGATTTACTATTTGGACACGTATATTTGTTTGTCCTAAATTAAAGTCCAAATCATGCTATTCTAGGAATGAATATTTCCATAAAAAGTCCCCATGCAGTAGTGAATGGACAATTTTTATGTGGAAAACCAACAGACCCGTGATTATAACTTCTGCAAAATAACAAAACAAAAATAAATCAATCAAATCTTGTTATGTCCCCTATAAATATGGTAACAAGAAAATGATGTTTGGTTAATTGGTACCCGTTGAAGGAGATAGAGTTTGGATAACTCATCATGTGAACGGTATATATCGTTACAAAATTATTTCTTATCGCATTAAAGTAACTGAATTTTATCCACTATAACAATAAAATTATAAAGTACTCTTTACTTATTTTAAAGAAACCTTGATGGATAGTTGTAGTTGATAAAATTTAACGACCTTACGATCATAATGAATAAAGTTTAGTACTTTGTTATTTATAATTGAATAAAGTTAGTGTAAACGCGGCAACAAGAAGTTGATATTTGTCAACCAATTAATTGCTGACGGTAGAAACATGTACAAATAAAACGGAACAGATCGATAGGCACTTGTCTATTAGCTTCATTTCTTGATTCACGAGTAACGTGAAAGAAATCTTTTAGGGTTCTTTTGGTGAGGTTTTGGATATATATATAATACCAATATAAGAGGGGTATAGAGTTAAAAGAAGGAGTTAAAAAAAATTAAAATCTATCTTCTTAGATGGTATAGATGATATGACTGATGGTATGATAATATACAATATCAAATGCAGTTGGTTTCTATATAAATTTGAATAAATACTACTATTGTATTGTAGATATATAAAATGTACGGCCAAATCTACTATCGAATAAAACCCGATTTCTATGTCTAATATAAATTCTTCCAAACTTTGAGTAAGGCTCCTAGCAAAGCTTTCTGGATTTGTATAATTATTACGATTATTGGACATTAACAATAAAATTATTTTTTGCGATTAAACTCTTATGTTGTGAAAATCCTACTCGGTACTCTCTCTCTCTTATTCTATAGACTTGTATAGTTACCATATTATCTAAATTATAAACTGAGATTACCCCTTTACTACTCTTTTTTTTTTAATCAACTCTTTTCATCTCTTCTTCCCAATCTTTTAAAGATTTTAACACTTTCTTAACTCTTATTTCTTTAACCTCACATCGGTCATGGTAACACTTATACCCTTCTTAATTGTTTTCGGGTTTTACTTAACCAGTTTCTCCTAGGAATTTACATGTTAATCCATCATAATTGATAAGAAATTGGAAATCTAACCATATACTAAGAGTGATATCTAATAATCGAGCATATGAATATGAAACATAAAACTATACAGAATAACAAAAAAAATTAAAATAAACAGGGGTAAACAGAAACATAATTTAGATAAAGATGAGTAACTTACATGCTTATAGGAGAGAGATTTCCCTTTTGGGAAACCCAAAAAAGTCTACTGAGCTTTGAGAATTAAAAACGATCACACATAATTATAGACTTATTTATTTTATAAGCTTAGAGGAGGAACTACTAAAGTATTCATAAAGAAATATTTTACAAAGTGTTTTGGGAGAGGGATTTTGGTTGATGATGAAAAGTTGGTTGGAGGGGTTTTCTTCAGAGTGTTTTTCTTCTTGTTCTCTCTTGTTTTTCTTCTCCCTTTTATAGCTAAATTTTTTAACAGATTTGAAAAATGGATTCCAAACTCTTTCGAAATCTATCTTGTTCAGCCTTGCAGGGTACTTCATTAAGCTTCATCTTCACATGGCTTGGTCGGAGATTCCTTTCGTGTTCGTAACTTTTTCTTCCACTCAAAATTTTAACTTGTCTTTTAGCACAACTAACAGTACCTCTTGTCACATCTTCTCTACTTTATGTCACTTGTTACTTTTGTCTTTTAGCATAGCTAGCATTTCTTCCTGTCACATCTTCTTTACTCTCTTGTTTTTCTCATTGGTATGCCAACATTATTGCTCTGTATACCAGCCTTGTTATTTTTCTTTTGTCTTTGGTGCTCTTTACTTGCTGTTTAACTGAGACTTTTCTTTTATGTGTCTAAATTATGTATAACTATTGTATCAAAACTCATTTCTGACTCATCTTCATATGGATCTTGAGCATCTTGATAATTTAGGTTGTCTTCATAGTTATCATCTTCTTCTGAACTTTGGGTCCTTTCTGGATTTGGACTTGGACTTGGACTTGGATTCTTAACTATGTGTTTGTCTTGTTCTTCCTTTTCTTGAAAAAAGTTTTCTAATGTCTATTTGATTATATTTTCTATTTTTTCGTATTTTTTTCTTTTTTGAAAATATACCCTTCTTTTTTAACGCTTCTCCATGTGTTAACGTTCTGGGTAGTCTTCTTCTCGATGGACCTTCATCTTCACTTTTTGACAAAGTGACAGCCATAAACGGATTTGATGTGTCTTTACCGGTTACCGTTTGAACCGGACTAGTTGTATCATTATCCGATATAGTGGATCTTGCTGCATCCATTGGGGAATGCACACCCTTCTCATCCATTTTTGTTTGAGATGGAGAACTTTGTTTTGGACTGTTCATCTCTGTGTCTTGTTGAGAAATAACTTGAGTCTGGGATAATTCAAATCTCAACGGTTGTACCCTATGTTCCAATACCTTTACCTGCTCCATAAGTTTTGTCTTCTCTTGTGCCAGGGTTTCATTTTTCTGGTTTATTCGTTTAAAGGCTTATGTCATTGATGAACAATGATCACATAATATTATCTTGTCATTGTCTTTTCGGATGTTGTATTGAGGGGGGTTTTTCTGGATTTTGTCTGAATGCTAGGGAGATATAGTAGTTTGGTCCTAGTATTCCTCTTGCATAATCTAATGCTTCAATAAAATCATTAAAACCTTTGAAAAGCGGTTTTTCTATATCCTTAATGGAATCTAGTACTTCTAACCATGTCTGAAAAATACCATTTGTCTTACCATGTATAACCACATAATACTTAAAAAAAATTCTTGGTTTTTATCTGTAAAATATTGTCCTGAGGCATTAAGAAACGCTATAAAATATTTAGTGTCTTTTTTATTATATGTTATCCATAAGTTATCAATTAAACACCGTTGAGGTCTGTCTATGACACATTCTGGTAGAACTCTAAATGACATGTTTAATGGTGGAAAAAAATATTAAATTATGTTTTCCAAAATTTATTCTTTCTATATTAGTCTGTTCTCCCAAAGGATGTGGCTTAAAATGAAGATTACTTAATACTGTCTGCAAGTATCTGTCTGAAGGTGAGGCTTGAATGCCCTTCCCTTTGTCTTCGGTCTTGGAAACTGTTGATCTCATGTTGTACATGTAAAATAATTGTTTATTAATTGACAGTAATTTTAAGCCTACTTAACTGATCTGCTAAATTATTATCTTTTCCTTTAAAATGTTCAAAAACCAGATTATATATTGATATAGTATCAATAAAATTTAACCATCTTCTTTTACTACTATTCTTTGCAATTATCTTCTGGTGAAATTTAACTATGGCTTCGCAATCAGTTCTAATTGTTACTTTTTGTTTATTTAATATATATAATTTAAAACTATTTAATCCGTAAATTACAGCTAATATCTCTGCATCTATACTACTCATATTTCCTTTTTCTTTATATTTACCACTTTGATAAGCACATATTTTTTCTGTGCTCTTATCACTATATTTATTTGGTTTTGCTTTTAGAACTGCTCCCCATCCTTCAAAACTACCGTCTGTTTCTATTATCAAGTAGTCTGTTTCTAGTGGCATATTTAAATCAGGAATATTTTTTATTCTTTCTTTAATATTTTGTACTAATTTAATATCTTCTGTGTTAAAATATTTTTGTCCTGTAGATCCTGTCTTAGCATATAATGGTCCTGCTATTTTTCCTAAGTCTTTTATAAAATTTCTCGCATAATTTACTATACCCAAAAACTTTGTAGCTCTTTGGTACTATCTAATTTATCTGGCATTTCTAGGGCCTTTTTAGCTATATGGGGTTTAATTTAATTTTTTCATCCCCTAAGATTACTCCTAGAAAATTTATATAATTTTACATAGTTTCATCTTCATTTTACTAATTATTATTCCATTATCTACAAATAATCTAAATACTGTCTGTAAATGTCCTAAATGTTCTTTAATATCCTTATTAAATACTAATATATCATCTACATATACTAAAACAAATCTCTTATATTCTCCAAATATTCTATCCATTTTTCGTTGAAAAATTGGTGGAGCTGTTTTTAGTCCGAACGGCATTACTAACCATTCGAAGTGTCCTTCTGGACAAGTAAATGCAGTCCACTCAATGCTTTCTTCATTCATCTTTACTTGCCAATACTCTGATTTACAGTCAAACTTGCTCAATATCCTTTTTCTTTGTATTCTATTTATTAGTTTTGTTTTATCAGGTAACTTATATCCATCTGTTCTAGTGTTATCATTAAGTCTTTTGTAGTTTATTATCATTCTTGCTTTTCCTCTTAGTATCTCACTATGGTTTCTAACCATAAAGGCTGCTGACATGTGTTTAGAAGTGGATCTTCTTATTACTCCTAAATTTATAAGTTCTTTAATTTGAATTTTGAAGTCTTCTAGATCTTGATTTGTAGCTTCTATTGAGGCTGTTTTAATTATATATTCTGGATTAATTATATCTAGTTTACACATAACTTTATTGTTTTCCTAATGTTTTAAAGGTTTTTCTCCTATTATTTCTATTTCATCTAATATTTTTATTATATTATCTAGATCCTTTTCATTCTTTACTATTCCTATTTTTTGTAGTCCTGTTTTAAAATAGTATAATTCTGTTTCAATATCTATTAAAGTATAGTCTTTTTCTAATATATCTCTATCTTCATTTTCTTCTAGTATTAAGGTTTTAGATTCTTCTTTAATCTTACTGCATGTATTTTTATCTTTGTACTGGTGTTTCTATTGTTGTAGTTTCTATTGTTTGTACTGGTGTTTGTGTAATGTTTTTAAAGAATATTACTCCATCTCTACTAAGTAGGCAGCTACCATTATTATTTAGTATGAAACTTAGTCCTAATACAAGTCTACAGAAACTCATATTGTTCTATACAATAGTAGAAGATGAATTAATGAGTATAGAAAATTGTGATGCACTTATATGTAATGAAGATAAAAAACTTAGTACAATAAAGATTTTAGCAAGAATCAAAATAGAAGATTACGAAATAGTAACATTAGCCCTAGTAGAATCCGGATGCACAAGATGTATAATAAATAAAAGGATAGTTCCTCCAAATATAATTAAAACCTTAGATAAACCAATTGCAGCTATGCAAATGGACGGAACCCATAATATATACAGAGATTACGTAGATAAATCACAGATCAGCTTTATAAATAAATGTTTAGATTTCTACAAACCCAACTACAAGGTAGACAAAATCTGGGTAAGGGACTTAAACATAAATGTAGACTTTGTATTAGGACTAAGTTTCATACTAAATAATAATGGTAGCTGCCTACTCAGTAGAGATGGAGTAATATTCCTTAAAAACATTACACAAACACTAGTACAAAAAGTAGAAATTGCAACCAGGATAAGAACACGACTAAACGCAAGCCAGAAAAACCTGCAAGAAGATCAAAAAGAATGTTGTAAAGAGTGTAAAGATAAAAATACATGCTGTAAGATTAAAGAAGAATCTAAAACCTTAATACTAGAAGAAAATGAAGATAGAGATATATTAGAAAAAGACTATACTTTAATAGATATTGAAACAGAATTATACAATTTTAAAACAGGACTACAAAAAATAGGAATAATAAAGAACGAAAAGGATCTAGATAATATAATAAAAATATTAGTTGAAATAGAAATAATAGGAGAAAACCCTTTAAAACATTGAAAAAACAATAAAGTTATGTGTAAACTAGATATAATTAATCCAGAATATATAATTAAAACAGCCTCAATAGAAGCTACAAATCAAGATCTAGAAGACTTCAAAATTCAAATTAAAGAACTTATAAATTTAGGAGTAATAAGAAGATCCACTTCTAAACACAGGTCATTAGCCTTTATGGTTAGAAACCATAGTGAGATAGTAAGAGGAAAAGCAAGAATGGTAATAAACTACAAAAGACTTAATGATAAAACTAGAACAGATGGATATAAGTTACCTGATAAAATAGAACTAATAAATAGAATACAAGGAAAAAGGATATTCAGCAAGTTTGACTATAAATCGGGGTATTGGCAAGTAAAGATGCATGAAGAAAGCATTGAGTGGACTGCATTTACTTGACCAGAAGGACACTTCGAATGGTTAGTAATATCGTTCGGACTAAAAACAGCTCCACCAATTTTTCAACGAAAAATGAATAGTATATTTGGAGAATATAAGAGAATTGTTTTAGTATATGTAGATGATATATTAGTATTTAATAAAGATATTAAAGAACATTTAGGACATTTACAGACAGTATTTAGATTATTTGTAGATAATGGAATAATAATTAGTAAAAAGAAGATGAAACTATGTAAAAATTATATAAATTTTCTAGGAGTAATCTTAGGGGATGGGGAAATTAAATTACAATCCCATATAGCTAAAAAGGCA